AAAATGTGCCAAGAGAAGGAAATTTACACATCAAACGAGGGTAAGAAGGAAGAAGAACTAATTCTCTTTTGATGGGAAGTTTAGAGAGGGAGGCGAGAGACTGGCGTTTGGAAATGAGATCAGGGGTGGAGGGAAGGGGGAAATGACCATCCGATAATCAGACTATTTAATGTTGTTCTTTGAGCAGTCGCGGCAGTAGATGAACTTGATTAGGCAGACGCGCGAGATCAAAGTGGCCGGAGCGAGAGCGGACAGGGTCCAGCGGCCGGGTCAGTCGTCTTTCCCTGGTGCCCCCTTCTCAGTGGTGGGTTAACGCAGGGAGATAAGAAACCCTTAAGGCTTAGCGCCCGACTTCCTCATTAGTATTTCATATCGCAAAGCTTGAGAATGCCTGTGTTTGATCCCAAGTCAGACTGTTCCCTGACTGGGGGATATCCCCTCTGGGGAGATAAGAGACTAGCTTCTGGAAAAGGGAAGCTGAAAGTGAATTTAACATCATTTAATTCAGCGTATAGAAATAATAAAGTTAGGCTAGAGTGTAAGAATGCTGTCCTGCTTATAAATTGGAAATAATTTATTTATTCAACAAAAACATATTGGAAGCCAAGTGCCCTGGCATTGGGCTTCTCTCTGGGTTGTCACTCCTTTTGGGGGGTAGGGGGGGAAGGCACAGTGAATGCAAATATTTAGCAGACTTTATTCTAATTATAGTAGTAATAAAAGATAAGAAATGTACACAATCTTTTTAAAACAGGTTAATGTTATAAGCATCAGAAAATAGACAACTGCTATGTGAGTTTAGAAAAGAGGTGATTGAATAGTCACTGTTGAATAAAAAAGACTAGGATATATTTATTTTGTGCTCCCCAATTTCTAGGGTATTTACAATTACTCTACACACTGACCCACTGTGTTCATGACTGGGACCACCACCAAGTATAGCCAGTGACAGTACTGAAGTGGCACAATCCTAAAGTTAAGAGAGGGAGGGGTAATTTTTTAAAGTTAGTAATGGTCTGTGTTCTAGTTCCTCAGGTTTCAGAGGTCATATTAAGAACATCTTCTAAACAATTCTTTAATAATGCAATTACACTGGTGTCCCTCCTATCCCAAATTCCATCTATCTTGTGAAATTTCCTCTAGCTTATTGATAATTTCTGCTTGAAATTCTAACACGGATTAAATCCTACATATTTCTTTAGGTTTTACGATGAGCATGTACAATGATCTAGACTTGGCTATTATTCTAGAAACTTTTGGAACAAATTGACATTTGGAAACAAAGTGGAGGTTGTTTGTATTGGCTTTTAAAAAATGAGCCTAAGAAACAAATAAGTCAATATACCTTTTATTGAGAATGGGCAATGAAGCAGGTCTCCCTTGGGCAGATACGGCCCTACTCTCAGTCGAGTTGAAGTTTACATAGAAGATTATAGGGTGAAAGGGTAAAGGCATAGGAAACTTTAGGTGCCGTATTATCACTTGCAGAATATTGATGACACTGTCAATAATCAATGTGTTCAGCATCTTCAGTATGATAGTAAAGCTACAATCTGACTTAAATTCTTATGATGTTGAAATGTGGAGAAAGAATACCCTGTCCTTGGCAAGGGTGAAAATGCTTCTTCCTAGTCCCATTCCTCTATTTAAATATTTCTAAAAACATGCTTGTGCCACAATAAAGGACAATCTCTTCTTCTCGTCAGAGATGGTACATGTTAATACATTTAATGAATTTAGTCCATTAAGAGCTTGGATTCACAAATGAAACCATTGTCTAGGGGCAAAAGAAAGTGGAACAATTTAACAAGCAAAAGGAAAACTTTAACAAATAGGCATGTTGCATAAATTCGATCTTGATCCCTGAATATGTGTGTCTTTTATGATTTTGTATTTGTTGAGCTTGGACAGAATCTGTTGTGTTGAGTTAGGGGAGCTAAGCCAAGAGTACTTGTACCCTTAGGGTTTCACGAGTGGACTGGGTTGTACCTGCTTCCCCACTTTGCATGTTGCTCCTGAAGTTGTCATGATTTGAAAGTTAATAATGAATTGGTCAATATCCGGGTTCCTGCTATCTGCTAAGCATGGTACTTGGTGCTGTGTGGTGAAAGATGAGTACTCACTTCTTGTCTATCTTCAAGTAATTCAGTAGGGGGAGGGGAGGCAAACTTTCAAATTATACAAAGGGAAATTATGTAGAAGGGCTTTAGAAAGAGTTGGGTATGTAGCAAGCCAACTTTTTGTTCCAAATGGAAAATTTCCTTTTTCAACGGAGTCTCCGTTTGAAAATCCTTTCCATGATTGAGTTTGCTCACTGGCAACAAAAGAGCAGGGTAAATTCATTGTTCCATCAGCAGTCAATTAAAATTCGGTGAGTGCCCATTACATGCAAAATGCTAACCTAGTACCTTTGGGAGTATTAAATATTAAATATTAAAGGCAGGCTCCTTGTCCTCAGAAAGCTTTCAATCTATGACTAGTTGGGGGGACAAATATACTTACATGGGAATGGAGGTAAAATTTTTCCAAATTAGATTATATTTTGGCACACACTAGGTCATGGGGAAGATAGAAAAATGTCCAGGAGTTGTGACCAACAGGTCTCAGGCAACAGAGGGTTCTGCCGACTCTCTCCTACAGCTGGGTGACAGAGGTGATGGGAGTCAGAGCAGGTGTATTTAGTTTATTAAACCTAGTTTATTTAGTTTGGTAGGGAACCCTGCCTCCTATTTAATCTGATTTAAATATGGCCATAATTAATGCAATAAGTTTAATATTTTGTATTAGATATTAAAATAGGTGAACTACGTTTACCAATGTGGAATCGAGCCCCATAACTCAGGAGTGGCATGATCCTGTGTGCCTTTGTCACATTTCGAGTGCTGTATGCCAGCCACAGAATACTCATCAACCTCTTCATCCATGAGGAAGACAGACGGACAAATACGCTCTAAAAAGCACGACGCTCTTTGCAAGCTATTTTTCCATCCTTGTGACTGTTGCATTTTTAATTCACCCTCTTCCTTCCATCCTCCCTCCCTCCCTTTCTTCCGTCCCTCCTTCTTTCATTTTTTTCTCTTTGTTAAATCAAAGGAAGCAGATCTGTGGCCATTTAATTTTACTTCACTAGAAAAACATTGAATTGATGTCATTCCTTATGGCGAGTGTTGCCAACGTTTTTGTTGGCACTGGCCTTGAATTTATAGTAGAGATTTCTCATTCCTGAGTTTAGTAAAAAATGTTATGAGTTTCTCACTGGCCTTTAAAAGATTTTCGTCTTAGTGCTCTTTATGATGTTAAAAGAGCTTTTAGACCAGGCCCCTGTTACGACTCCTGTGAGGCTGGATTATGCTTTTCTGCACTCCTCAGTACAAAGAGAAGGCGAGATTTGACAATGATTATGTTTATTTGGTCAGTAGAGATGGCCAGCCCAGATAAATCAGGCTCCATGGTAGCTTTCTAATTCAGCTCAGAAGATGTTGTACAGGAGCGGACGTTAAAAACTAATCTGAGGGGGCTGGCCCCGTGGCCGAGTGGTTAAGTTCGCGCGCTCCGCTGCAGGCGGCCCAGTGTTTCGTTAGTTCGGATCCTGGGCGCGGACATGGCACTGCTCATCGGGCCACGCTGAGGCAGCGTCCCACATGCCACAACTAGAAGAATCCACAACGAAGAATACACAACTATGTACCGGGGGGCTTTGGGGAGAAAAAGGAAAAAATAAAATCTTTAAAAAAAAAAAAAAAAACTAATCTGAGAATAGAGCCCAGAATCCAGAAACTTTTGACTAAAAACTAGAGAGGACCTTTCCTGGTGTCTTGACACTCAGAAAGGTCTGTGGTATGTAGTTACAGGAAGTGCAAAACATCCCCTTAACACCCCCAAAGGATTTGATATTTCCAACCACGAAGAAGGGCCAAATGACAGCAGAAAGCGGGATGCAAGATGCTCTTGAACCAGTTTCCAGACTGAGAGAAAAATCGTTTTCCTTCCTGTCGCTGGGTTCCTATTATTACCTCCTTTATAATGCAGGCAGTCTCCAAAGGGCATGGCCAACCAAGGTATCATGCCAAGATGGCAGGAGTCTGGCGCTGGAACTTGGGGCACTGGGGACTTCTACTGTGACAGCTGCCAGCTAGCTGGCAACAAGGGCATGTTGGTCAAGCCATTTAACTCTCAGTGTTGATCTTTCATTTCTAAAATGGCATGAGGCGGAGGTGGAGAGGTCCTCTCTGACTACAAAAGCCCCCCTTTCTCTCGCTGTTTTTTTTAAGCACTGCCAAGACAAGGCCTTTTGTATTCTGATTAAAATAAG